TGAGTATCATGAAATTGGGGCGTGTTGATTTTGTCTGATCATTTGTATTAGCAAAACCTAAAATTAACTATTTTACACTTTTCTCAAGTTTCCTACCACTTCCACTATCTAATTTATACTGTTAAATTAATGGATTAGGTCAGCATTTCTCAACCTGGCCATTTTAAGATGTATGGATTTCAACTTCCAGAATTCCCCAGCCAACTTGACTTGTTAGGGAATTCTGGGAATTGAAGTCTATACATCTTAAAATAGCCAAGGCTGAGAAACATTGGATTAGGTATTAATTACCTCTAGAATAGATGGCCCCAAAAACTATAAAGGCTGATCTAGAGCAGATGGCTTGAGTGAGTGAGTGGAATTAACATTTGGTCCTTCTCAAATGACCTGATGCATTCTTGGATCCCTGCTGGAAAATTAGTTATTGGCTCCCATTTTTCTTTAACTAATACCTCGATGCAAATTTTGTTTTCCATGGAAGACTGGAACTGGGGCAGAAATGTTTTTCTTTTAGTAAATGAGAAGAAAGTAGCAATGAAATGAACATTCATGTGTGTACAGTATAAGAACTTATGCTGGGACATTTAGAACTATTCTATAGGCAATTAATACCTTCCAGTCTCTTCTTAAAAACTTCCAGTGTTGGAGCATTCACCGCTTCTGGAGGCAGGTTGTTCCGCTGGTTAATTGTTCTAACTGTCAGGAAGTTTCTCCTTAGTTCTAGGTTGCTTCTCTCCTTGATTAGTTTCCATCTGTTGCTTCTTGTCCTGCCTTCAGGCGCTTTGGAGAATAGCTTGACTCCCTCTTCTTTGTGGCAACCCCTGAGATATTGGAACACTGCTATCATGTCCCCCCTCGTCCTTCTCTTCGTTAAACTAGACATACCCAATTCCAGCAACCGTTCCTTATATGTTTTAGCCTCCAGTCCTCTAATCATCTTTGTTGCTCTTCTCTGTACTCTTTCTAGAGTCTCAACATCTTTTTTCATCGTGATGACCAAAACTGGATGCAGTATTCCAAATGGGTCTTATCAAGGCATTGTAAAGTGGTATTAATACTTCATGTGATCTTGATTCTATTCCTCTGTTAATGCAGCCTAGCACTGAGTTGGCTTTTTGGCAGCTGCAGCACACTGCTGGCTCATATTTAAGTGATTGTCCACTAGGACTCCAAGGTCCCTCTCACAGTTACTATTATTGAGCAAGGTACCACCTATACCAGTGATGGCAAACCTTTTAGAGACCGAGTGCCCAAAAACTGGCCCCGCCCCTGCTCTGCCCCCCACCCCCTGACCCACCTGCCCACAGGACCACTCACCGCCTCCAGGGCCTGCCGCAGATCGCACAGGCAGCCCAGCAGCACTATGGCGGTCATGCTCTCTGACCGTGCCCTGCAGCATCAACTGCATGATGGAGTGTGAGGGCAGAGTCTTGTCTACCCTGCCTGGCTGCCATGTCCTTTGCTGCGCTGCTCTGTGTGGGCCTTCAGGGGGGCTGCTGGAGAGGGGGTCACGGGGGAGGTGAGGCTAGGGCAATGGAACGTGTGCCCACAGAGAGGGCTCCGAGTGCCGCCTCTGGCACCCATGCCATAGGTTTGCCACCACTGACCTATACTATACCTGTACATTTGGTTTTTCTTGCCTAAATGTAGAACCTTACTTTTTTCACTATTGAATTTCATTTTGTTAGATAGCACCCAGTGTTCAAGTCTGTCCAGATCCTCCTGTATCTTAAGCCTATCTTCTGGAGTGTTGGCTATTCCTGCCAGCTTGGTGTCATCTGCAAATTTAATGAGTTCCCCATCTATCCCCTCGTCCAAATCGTTGATGAAGATGTTGAAGAGCATTGGGCCTAGAACAGAGCCCTGGGGCACCCCACTACACATTTCCCTCCATGTAGATGCAGTTCCATTGAGGACCACACACTAAGTACAGCCGGTCAGCCAGCTATGAATCCATCTGGTGGTGATGCTGTCTAACCCCCATTTTTCTATCTTATCAAGTAGTAGGTTGTGATCTACTTTATCAAATACCTTACTGAAGTCCAAGTAAATTATATCCACAGCATTCCTCTGGTCCACTAATTTTGTCACTTGGTCAAAGAATGCAATAAGATTTGTCTGGCATGATCTGTTTTTGACAAACCCATGTTGGCTTTTAGTAATGACTTTGTTTGCCTCTAGGTGTTCGCTGATTCGTTGTTGGATTATCTTTTCCAGACTCTTCCCAGGTATTGAGGTCAGGCTGATAGGTCTGTAGTTTCCTGAATCTATTTTTTCCCCCTTTTTTGAAGATGGGAAGTACATTATCTCTCTTCCAGTCCTCTGGTAGTTCCCCAGTGCTCCAGGATCTTTGAAAAATATAGTTCAGTGGTTCTGAGATCACATCTGCCAGTTCCTTGAGAACCTTGGAGTGTAATCCATCTGGTCCTGGTGATTTGAACTCATCTAGGCTGGACAGGTGCTCACTTACCATTTTCTTGCCTATCTTAACTTGTGTTTCTAATCTGTTTTTTATGGTATTGTTTTTGATAGGTTGGACTGTTTTTTCCCTTTGTGTAAAGACAGATGCAAAAAATGAGTTAAATAGTTCTGCTTTCTCCCTGTTGCTTGTCACCTTCTTGCCACTTTCCCCCACTAATGGACCAATCATTTCCTTAACTTTTTTCTTGTTTTTTACATGTTGAAAGAAGCTTTTTTTGTTATTTTTGACTTTGGTCGCAAGCTTTAGTTCATTTTGAGCCTTAGCTTTCCTCACTTTATCTTTGCAGGTTCGGGCTATTTGCTGATATTCTGTCTTAGTTATGTGTCCCTCTTTCCACTTTTTATACTTGTCCTTTTTATCTTTCAATTTATCAGAGAGTTCTTTATGCAGCCACGCTGATTTCTTTTGAGAGCTATTATTTTTCTTCTTTGTTGGTATTGTGTTAGACTGGGCTTTTATCTCACTTTTCAAAATTTCCCAAGCTTCCTGAGTTGTTTTCCCCTTGAGGATTCTTAACCATGGAATCCTTCCCAAACTCTAAGTTTATTGAAATTAGCTCTCTTAAAGTCCAAGACTCTAGTTTGACTGTGTTCTATTGCTTGTGCTTCCCTAATGTTGCATTCCAATATTGCATTATCACTTCCCCTCAAGGTTCCTGTGGCTTCAACACCTTCTATCATTTCATCTCTGTTAGTGAGGATTAGATCCAATATAACTAATCCCCTAGTTCCCTTCTCTACTTTTTTGGAAGACAAAGTTGTCAGGAATTTGTTTGATCTTCCACTTGGTGCAGAGTTTGTCTCCCAGTTGATGTCAGAGAGTAATTAAAGTTCCCCATTACTATTGTGATGTGCTTCCTACATACCTTAGAGTTAGCTGACTAGCAAAAAGTTCATCTATTTCCTCTGTTTGGTTGGGTAGCCTATAGTATACACCTATGGCAATGTCATTTTCCCCCTTTTATATTGACCCAAATGCATTTCATCATTGTTGTGCTCTATTTCTGTAGAGATGTAGTTATTTCTTATATAGAGAGCAACTCCACCTCCTCTTTTGTTTGGTCTGTTTCTTTTAAATAATTTAAATCCCTCTAGCTGTGTGTTCCATTTGTGGGTTTCATCCCACCATTAATTTTGCAGCTGGGATCGAAGAAAGAACAGAAAAATCTGAAACACTGTTTCCAATCCATACTGAATAAGGTAGACCTGCTTGTGGAATGCTGCAGTAAAGATTAAAACCAGAAACACTGAAATTTTATATTTGTCACAAAATGCTATTGTTGTGTCCTGGGCCTGCTGAATGACTCGGCAGGTTCAGGAAAGCTGCAGAAAGGCCCGGGCAGACCAGATGGGGGTTGTGCCATAGAGGCGGCTCCTGACTCTGGCACAGGCACCGAGTCAATGGGACATTGCTGTCAATCGGCTTCTCAGGCCACTCCACCTGCTGGTTTTGGGCTTGAGGGAAAGTGCTCCCAAGAGGGGTCCATTGTGGGCTTGGGGAATTCCACCCCACCACTGGACTTGGGGACTTCCACCCCCCCAAGGAACTCTGGTTTGGGTTCAGAGGAGCCAATCAGTCAGCAGCGTGGGGGGTTGCCTGGGTCTATGGGGCACCAAAGTCCTGGTCTGCCTAGCCTGGCAGGCGAGCTGGCAGGCCAGGCATACACACTGGCTCCAAGAAGGTCAGAGCAGGCCAAGGGTCCACCCAAACACTTAAAGGACTATGTGAGGTTCCTGTCAAGTATGGGGGAAGCCTAATAGTTCTCTATCAATCAGAACACACTCAAAAGAAGGGTGTTATACTTTTGGTACTATAAAGTATGATGTATTATTGTTGGAATAAAGAGATGTAAATCTTGGGTTGCCTGTGAGCAGGCATAACTGTATTTAGAAATAACAACATGCTCAATTGAACACGTGTATATATATATGGATGTACAAATAATAAGTGTGTACTTATTGTTTAATCCAAGGGGGGAGGGGTGTTGTGTCCTGGGCCTGCTGAATGACTCAGCAGGCTCAGGAAAGCTGCAAAAAGGCCCGGGCAGACCACGTGGTTGCCCGGGACCAGACAGGCTGTCTCCAGCCTTGCGCGCATGCGCAAGGCGAGAGAATGCCATGGAATGATTGGCTGACGCTGTCCCTGCCAGGGGACTTTAAAAGGGCCTGCGCCATTTTTGTTCTCTGTTCTGTTGGTGAATTGCAATAAAGGAAGACTGTTTTTTGTTACTCCGTTTCGTCTCCATGCCTCATCTTTGGAAACAGAACAACTATCATTGCCATCTATTGTCAAACCTGCTTCATTGATTTCGTACCATTCAAACGATAGAGCAATAGGCATACCTGAAGGTAAACTGGTTAACTCTCATTTTCATTTAAGGTACCAAGAAAAACCCAAAGCAGCTTGAGAATAACGGTCCTTTTTTTCATTATGATACAATTTAAAATTAATGAATTTTGTAGATTATTGTTCATTTCTGAAATTTGGTGTTCTATATTACAGATAGATTAGGGACATATTTTTCTAATGTATTATATACTTTATTATTTACTAAAATAGTTACGCTGCACCATATACTGATAGTGCTCGGTAAAGCAATATACAGCAAATCAATAACAGACAATAAAAATAACAAAGCTCAAAATAATACACATGTGTTAGGAGTGTTGAATGTTGAGTCTTGCTCTTATCGGATACAGTTAGCAATTCCAGGACTTTTCACAAATCCAGCCATCCACATTTTTTCCACATTCACGATCTTCCCATTGGCCAGAAGAATTCATCACTACACAGTCTTGCCCTCTTCCACCATTGTCGGGTTCTCCTAGACGCCAGCGGCTGCAGTTAGAAATTCAAGGAATTATATAAATGGCAAAATTAATTAGTCAACACCCATAAATTAGCAAGCAAGCACCAAGAATCCAATAACTCAACCTGAGCTACCTATATTCTCCATTATTGCAACAACATGTGGGCAGAAAGTGCATCAGAAAGCGCAGAAGTGGGAGAGATGTAAATGTGGGCACACTTCTACAAAGAATAGCATTTTCTTTCTGTATAAGCGCCTATACAGCAAGTCCTACTTAACAGTGTAAAATATGGATCTCCAATAAACTTGCAGAAGGATGAAAACACCAGAAGAAAGAGCCAGAAAACGGCCCATCTGATAATAGTGGATGACCCAGTAAACCGCATATATATCAGCACATTATTGGTAAATGAAACTAGCACAAATCAGGGCCCTAGTTGCATAAAGGCACTTATAACCACCCTCACCATCACTTCACAAAAACAAGCTGAAGAAAGGAAAAACAAAACTGAAAATTAAAGTGCTGAAGCTATCCATAACAAGAAAAGATAACATTGAATCAGAATGGGTGATAAACATGACACAAAACAACCGGGCTAGCCTATACGTACCAAGGAAATGTATAATAGACAATTTATTTTATTTTATTATACTGTATGCCATTAAGTCATTTTTCAGTTCCTAGTGACCATATAGTTAGATTTTTTCTGCGAGGAAGATAATTATATGCTAATGACCAATAGATAGGTAGAAGATAGAAGAGATGCCCTAAAAATACCAAAGAATGTCCCACCATCACAATCCTTCCAGCAGAAAGAGGATGAACTACAGTTATCACAGACAGAACAATATACATCCAAAAAGCAAAAGGACTATTGAATGACAAGGAAACCTACAATCTCTGAAACAAAAACCCAAAACATCAACCAAAGCAAGAAAATGATTTACTGAAATAAGGGAAATAAAAACAATTGTATATAAAACTAAGGACCAGTCCTCCATTGGTGCCCAAAAACCCACAAACCTGACAGACAACTCTGTCCAACTGTATTGCCACCTGGGGCCACAACATACAATTTAGCTAACAATCATGCCTAGAAATATAGACACTCATAAACGGAAATGAACATTCCATTAAATCACCACAAGTGAATTAAAGATCTAACATTTGAGGAAAATGAAATCACAGTTTCATTTGAATTCACTGTACTTTTCAAATGAATAGATCCTAAACTGATAAAAGAATCTAAATTAGAGTACTCCTGCACAACGCACTAAACGTAATACCAAAACTGAAAAAAACAGACTTATGGAGCTTATAGACCTTTGCCTCGCCACTTCCAGACTGATAGACCAATATGCACATCAATCACAGGAACAGTCATCGAGTCTCTTATGGAATGGGACAACTCAGTGCAGCCAGCTTGGCACAGCTGGCTCATCACAGCCAGCTTGCCACCACCAACTCAAGTAACTGCCAAGTAACCCCAGGACAATTCCACGTGGCCAATTTACCATGGGGAAAACTCACTGTGGGTGGCTGGAGGGAGAGCTGGGTGGGAGAGCACAGAGCAGCATCCTATTTTCACACACCCTGCCACCACCGCCAAGCTCCAGGCCAAAGAGGCTGGGGATGATGGTGGCAGTGGTGGGTGGGTGCGGCCAGAGGGTCACATTTTCACACAGTGCCATTGCCACTGCCATTGTTGCTGCCATGCTGAGCTGTGGGCTGAAGAGGCCAAGGATGGCGGTGGCAGGGGTAAGGTAGGCGACAGGGTGTGTGAAAATGGGATGCCCCTGGCTGCCAACATCACTGTCACTCTGCACTCTGCCCACCCATTTGCTTGCCCTCCCTCCTGGCTCTCCTTCTGGCCACCCGCAGCAAGTTGGCTGTGTGCTGTGTTGTGGCAATTTGGTGGCGGTGGGTTGGGAGAGGCGATTTGGCAGTGTCAGCCTGGCAGCAGTGAACTGGCCGCGCTGAGCTGTTCTAGATTCATTGAAGAGACAGTGATGCAACACTTAGAAGGGACAGTATTTCCATATACAGTACCCAAATGTGGGTCTATTATACAGCTGACACTTTTGTCGTAATGCAAAAACACACATAAGACAATTAACCACACTTTCAACAGAAAATAAGTTTACAAGACAAGAGAACAATAAAGACTTTCTCATCAGCAGAGAGAGCAATAGCAAACTGCAACCTAATTGCAGCACAAAGCAATCCACCCTAACCAGTGGTGGGATTCAGCCGGTAGCTAATTTTTTGTTGCCCAGGCCCAGAATGGATTTCCAAAAGCAGCATCCACACAGAGAACCAGTTGTTCACATATTTGAATCCCACCACTGACCCTAACCAAATATCCAGCTAGTTCAGCAATCCTGAAGGGCACACAAAAGAAACTTTGTAAGAACCATGTTCAGATGAGCACAAATACTTTACAGGAATCCAGAATTCCAGGAAGCTGAAATAGACTGATTATGTAATATTACCCATTCCATGCAATTTTCCGTCCTACTTGATTAAAAAGTGTCTATCCATGCCAACAGTCATAGTACAACTGTAACAACCATGTAAGGACTGTGAAAACCACAGCATAGGACAAACAGGCAGAAGATCAGCAGGGTTCATCCACAAACATCAATTAAAATCAGAAATCATGATGGAAATACCTTAGTTTCGCAAATTGAACTACAATTTCAACCAGGAATCTATGCACATTTTTTACCAAATAAATTTTCTAAGTCTCATTTCAGGTCACCTAAACTTTCATTTCCTGCCTGTGAATTTGACATTGTCCAATATACAATTAAATCTGCAGATTCAACTTTTAATTGAACAGCTAGTTAGTTTCTATCAATCTAATGTATTGTTCAGCCATCCATTTTCCCCTCTTTAACAGCTTTTCAAGGAGAAAACCAAATAGAAACGGCAATGGGAGCATGTGGTCAGGATTATTGTATGAGTATAGTGACATCAACATAAAAGTATGTTGAAAGAGGCAGGCTGATTGCATAGTTTGAAAGCCTAGTGTGAAAATTCCCTAGTATTTATAAACAAATGAGAAAAAGAGAGAGAAAATTTTAACAGGGACTTACGTAAATTTCGGGGTACTATTGTCTACCCAAACAAAGTTGTTTTCAGAACTCATATCACTTAGACCAATCCAGAATGCCTTGCCTTTCATTTGCGAAGCAAGAAAACTCTGAAATGTAAGGCAGTTTAAACAGTTCAGTTATAATATACCACATGGAATAGACCAATTGTTCCATCTTGTGACCTGCCCAACCATTTTTCAAAACTGGTCAACCAGGTGTGCAATCTTGCAGATCGTCTGGACTGCAGTCACCTATATGCAACTAGGAGTATAAATTTAACGATTTAAAACTGTCTATCCCTATTGTCTGGGCAATAGGGAGTGTGTTTTGAAAGAATGGGTTTAGTGTTCTCTAAAACACACATACCAATCACAACAGGGTTTGGGACTTCATAATTATAATATAACAAGAAAAATGAATTTCTTGTTATATTATGAGTGAATGGGGTTACCACCTTTCTCTGGAGCTGCAAAAATGTATCCTCCAAAGAGGAGCTGCATATCATTTACCTTCATCACCAGCATACCAATATTGACTGTGAGCAGAG